CCGATGAGGCAGTGGGGGTGATTTTTTCTTCAGTGGAGCTGTATGCACTGTTCTAAGGTATTTATCTTTGCTTCATTCATCCTGAACAATTCTAAAGTATTTGTTCATTGTACTGCATTTTCTGCTGTATAACTAAGCACTGTGTGCTCCTTTAGATTTAGAGATTCCAAGAAAAAAAAACAGGGTACTTGTAACACATGAATGGCAAAACTGCATTTTTGTTTCGAGGTTGGTCTTTGGAAAGTAATTCAAAGACGTGTCTGTATTAGTCTGGAATATCAGTATGTAAAATGATCTTGTAGCACCTTAGAGACTAATTGAGAGAATGAAGTTAGTAACCGAGGTAGAGAAGATCGGGATACTAAAGTTTTAGATAAATAAATAACTTAAGTTTTTGTAGACCAAGTCTACTTTGTCAAATTCTTGAGAATATGATAAAGTTATTAAATATACAGTGTGCACTCAGTATCTGATAGGATTGGGCCCTGTGAATACCAAGTCCCATTATATACAATGGCATAGTAAAATGGAGTCCTTTATATAAAAGGGCGAACAATTGAAGTGGAAGCAGCATTGCTACTTGCTTGGTATAATATTATACAGTTATTTTGAGATATTTTTTTTTCAAGTGGCCTCTAGGAACACTTGCTGAAGTAAAGATGTTTATTGTACAGATTGAAAAAAAAACAGAAGTGCCCCAAGCAGACACTTTAAAGTAGTTGAGGACCACATTAAAATGGTGAAAAGAATGGTTGTAATATTGTGGCTTTGTACTCTATTGTATGCAACTTCCAATACCTGATTTTTTTTCTAGTTTTTCCCCCTGTTATTATGAATGGGAATGAATATACCACTTTTGTCTCTGAAAATTATCAGAACAGCAATCATTACTCCTTCATTTATGGTTTGCATATTTAAGGGCTGCAAGCGGCATCTTCTGTTCTAGTCTGTTCTGTTTTTAAAGCCACTGGCAATTCTTTCTCTAAGCCAAGATAGTTGGCATTACTATGATAAAGAACCCTGGGAGTTAGCAGTCTAGCAATATCTGAAGGGTCACACGTTCTTCCTACTGCTGTTCATCTCCAAATAGCTAATGCCTCAGATTCTGGGACAATAAGATACTAACTGACATAATTTCTCTAGCATTCTGGAGTTAATAAATAAACAATTTTGCAATCTTCACTATTAATAAGTATGAAGTAGGACATGGCCATAGTGTATATGAGTTGGAGAGAGAGCGCACTAGCCATAGTTTGTTCCATAGTGCTCCTAGATGCTGATCTCATGTGTGTTACCAGGTGAGTAGCAAACTTGGGATTAAATCTGTAATGGAGAAGATCAAGAGAGCGGAGGGAGGCAAAAAAATAAGCAGAAATTAAAAAGGTACCCTTTTTAGATTCTTGAATTATGAAACAGATACCACGTTGACAGGTTGACCATCTACTATAAAATATTTTCTTCTTAGAGATTTAACATAAACCTCATAGTTAATGAATCTAAGCTATTGTGGCATAGCCAACAGCAGTCAAGATGCCGAGAATTAATTATAGCAACATAGAGGATCTGGATTCTAAAACCAGCTTGATCTTATGATTCCAAGGAGTTGTGATCTCCTCAGTGCATATCAGTGAACAAACTTGAAGTCCCAAATCAAAATTTAATCAGCTTAGATAAAAATGTAGTTTGCTAAACAAAAAGACACACGCTCCCCCAAAAAATCCCAACCTCTATTAGAATCATAGAGTTGGAAGAGACCTCATGGGCCATCCAGTCCAACCCCCTGCCAAGAAGCAGGAAATTTGCATTATAGAATCATAGAGTTGGAAGTTGTTAATTCAACAAAATGCAGAACATTGATAATTTCAGGGCTATATAAAACGGCTTCTAACTCTAGAAGTGTTTGTTGTGTTGAACAAACTCCCATTCTCACTAGTGTTAGTCTCCTGTCCCTAAGTCACTGAAGTGCAACATGATCAATGACTGGCACAACATAATGATATTTCAGGCTGTCCCCTGATAAAAGTGGTTTCTAGGACAAACTTCAGGGTGATGTTCCTGACACATTTGAGCTTGGAAATAGTGTAAAGAGCATGGCAAGTGGGATAGCCGTTATAAAGAATTGTATCACAGCTGAAGTGCATGCATGTGAGAAAACGTTTGAGTGCATATCCATTATAGTTATTACTTGTACTGTAGGAGGAAAAAGAAAATTTCCAGAGAACAGTGCTAACATTAGCTGGGATCATGTGTCTTCTTCCACTGGTCCATCCCCACATGGGGTGCTCCAACCCCTAGAAGCAGGCAAAATGGCTTTTATTTGATTCCCCCATTCTTCTGCAGCTCTCCCAATCGTCGTTGCGTGTCTTCAAGTCCTTTCTGATTTATGGCAACCCTAAGGGAAACCTATCATGTAGTTTTCTTGGCAAGATATTATTCAGAAGGGGTTTGCCTTTACCTCCCTCTAAGGCTGAGAGTGTGTGATTTGCCCAAGTATGTTTCATGTCTGAGTAGGGATTTGAACCCTGTTCTCCAGAGCTGTAATGCAATACTCAAACCTCACACCATACTGATTTCCTATTCCACCCCCTGAAGATCATCTACCTGTATTGGGTGAAAAGGACTCCTGAGGAGAGAGGGAATTGGATAATATTGTCTTCCTTTTGTGTCCTGCTGGTGGAATTCTGTGTCTGATTTCAGTATGGTACTTAAATGGAAGAAGCCTGTTTAAGATCCAGGGATCAGTAATGGAAGCCAAAGTATTGGGTAGCACTGGGGGTGGGTTGAGGGGTAATTGTACTGTGGGTGGCGGGTTGTTGAAGTATGTGTACATGTATATGTTTGTAATGTATATGTTGGGTGTATTACACTTTTAAAACAAACAAATAAATAATAGGCCTTTAAAAGCACTCATAGAAACTTCAGCAACTAAACTAAAAGCTCTCTTCTTAGTAATCTAGAGAAAGCACTTACCAGGATAATATTTTAAGGATGCTCTTTCTAATTTTGTGACTGAGCGCTCCCTCAGGCACACCGTAGCTTCAGAGCAACAAAGGAATTTCTTTCTTCACCAGATATGAGAAAAATCCAGGAGACAAATCCAGGAGACAGCGTACGCTAATCTGCCTCACTTCTGTTGATCTGAGCCATGCATTTGATGTAATCAGTGGAGTGGGACTCTGAAAAATTCGTAGATGTTTCCAAGTTAGTTAGCCTTATCTGATGTTTCCATGGCAATGTGCATAATACTCTTCTGCTTGACATAGCCATGTATGATAGTTTTTAAGGGGAAGCTAGAGTGAAACAGTACTGCAACCCCTCACTGTTCTTTTTAATCTCTCTGCTCTTCAAGAGCCTTGCAGCCATGCTGAGAAACATTTATATACAGAAATTTCATTGCTCTTCATTGACAGGTAAAGTCAAGTGTAAAGCTATTGTTCTTCCCGTTCACATCTTAAGTTCTGTTGTGGCTAGTCTTAATGAAATGATAGTTTAGAGGCATTTTAATATTAAGAGATTATCTTCATTGCTCCATTCTTTTATGACAATACTTTCAGAAGCTCTGATGGGAAGGATTCTACAGCATTGAGCATAGATACATATCAGAGGAAATTCTCTGTGATGGCACTCTGTTCTCAGGGGCCCAGATGTTTTCTAACAATGGGTGCAAGGGCATTAACCTGCGTCCTTTGGATAGAGATAGGAAGAGAATTTAAAGAAATGCTTGATATCACATTGGGCTGGTGCACAGACGGCTTCATCAATTACAAGAAGGCAGAATAGATATAAGAGGGGCAATCATTACCTCCTATTTGAAGATATTGAAGAGAACTTTTGATGATATTAGGATTTGACACATTAATTAAATGTAACCTTGTCTTAATTCCAAAAATACTTTGAAATATGTACGGGTTTGGTTTCAATAACATTTCATTCCCCCGTGCTTATCCTGGAAGGACCATGCTCTACTTCCCTTGGTTTTTTTCTCACTTTTATTTTTAAAAAACTAAACATGTTTCCCATTCTTTATTATTTATATTCCTTGGCTGTTTTAGGCCAAAAAAAGAGTCCTGTTTTCAAACCTGCACTAGGGGAAATTGTGGGTATAAATTAAGCAAACACAAAATCAAATTATAGTTTGACTTTCAGCTTATCTTCTGGTCTCTCCAACTTGAGTTGGGGAGGGGAAACATGGCAGAATTATCCACCTGCCAAGAACTTGATAAATTCTGGCATCCAGTTCCGACAATTCCAGCTTTATAAAGAAGTATGTGCGCAAAATAGACAGTTGCTATTTCTATGCTGTTTCCTACTTGCTTGCTATATGATTAAGTACTCAGAATATAGTGGCAATATAATGAATATTTTCTGTAGAACTTGAATATGTGTTTTAGAGCAGTACTTACCAGGCCCTCTGAGGTGGAGGACTAGCAGTATTTTTTTCCGATGTGCTGTACCCATTGGGTGCAGGATTCTTAGATGTTTCCAAGTTAGCAGGAATATGAGTTTCCTGGAAATTTGTCAGGACCAACAGCCAATGGCTTGGGGAGTGACACTGATCCATTTACCAGCACTTTCAATAGCACTTCAAAAGAATTCAACTGTCATTCCAGCTCAGGTACTATGTGAATGGAAGCTGTCAATACACTGGCGTTGACTTTTACCTTTTTGAAAAGTGTGCACTAAAATAACAATGCACAGGGAAGAAAATATACACTGCTAGGAATGTGATTTTGCAAGTAATGTGTGTATACTTCCTGGTTATTCAAGGAGGGGAGACTGGAAGAAGCAGTTGGGGCTCTGCAGGTCAAGGCATTGAAGTGGCAGATGAAAAAAGGGAGGCTGTTCAGTTCTATATGGGAATTAAAGTTGTTGAAAGTTGTGCATATGTGGGTCTGCAGTTTGTGGTGAGTTGAACTAATAAGAAGTGCACATTTTTAATAGATGGATAATTAAATTTGCTGATTTAATCCTTTTCTCCCTCTCTCTTTGCTTCCATCAAGACTTACTCATACATTATCACATGATTTTATGAAGTCTGCTGATCTTATTTCTGAAGAGTTGGCTGCACAGAGGAGAAGTTTTGCACTGCTGCTTTGGATTGCTGTCATCTCTGTGACACCTTGATCAACCGACACCATGTACTGCCTCCAGTGGTTACTGCCTGTTCTCCTCATCCCCAAGCCCCTCAACCCAGCCTTGTGGTTCAGTCACTCAATGTTCATGGGCTTCTATCTACTGAGTTTCCTGTTGGAGCGGAAACCTTGCACAATCTGTGCCTTGGTCTTCTTGGCTGCTTTGTTCCTCATCTGCTACAGTTGCTGGGGGAACTGTTTCTTGTACCACTGCTCTGGCTCCCAGCTGCCTGACTCTGCTCATGACCCCAACATAGTGGGCACCTAAAATGTTCAACGGTTGCAAACTCCTCTTTTTTTCCTTTTCTTTTAAAGGGACAGTTTTATGGGAAGGAGGTATTCTAAGGCATATGATGGGAGTACAAGCAACCTGTCTGTATGTCTGGATTAAAGTGTTTCATTCATTATCACCTGCACTTCCAAAATTTGCCTGTAAAATTGTACAAAGTCTGTTCATAGTGATAACTGACATTGCTGTCTGCCCAAGGGTAGCTTTTCTTCCCCCTTCTATCTTCTGTATTGTCTGAGCTTGGTCCTTCCATTTCTGGTTTGGTGGTGAAGACATCTGTTGAGTACTGCCTGACACTGGAGCAGCATTGATCTGACTCCTTTCCTAGATTAGGATGCCGCTGTTAGCCTTCTGGAATGTGTCTTCCAGTTCTGTTGAGAGAATTGGAAAGCCTTTTCTCCATCTTGTGTTTGATAAACAGCCAGTGATTGTTCTTCTGAACGTCTGAGAGGGAACTTGCAAATGGCTAATAAGCTTGAGAGCTTTGTGGAGCCAGAGGCTGCTGATTCATCTGACCAGGCCGAACAGGAATGTGTGTACTGCCAGAAAGCTTTCCAAACTATTTATCTGCCCAGATCATAGCTCAAAAATTCCAGCGTCGTCATGATGCCACTTTTACAGCACAGGTGCTGAAGCTTGTCTCACCCCTTCCCCCTGCCAAAAATTTACTTGTTTACAAAGGTCTTAGGTTGGGAAGAAAGCATGCTTTGCTGTAATGTTGTGTCCTTTTTACCATTTTTGCTTTTGAATTTTAAGCTCTCGGTCTTTTTAACTTGGAAAGGAAAAGGGAGTGCAGGGGTGGGGTGGGATGGGGGTTGAACGTGCAAGTGTTGAAATGAGATGTATGGGCTACTTTTCACTATTGAATTGGAGCTGACATTTGAACAACATATTACTTGTTTCTTTTTTCACTTTCTCTGAAGTCAAAGAGTATTATTTTGTTCACAAGCAAATGACCCATGGCTCAGATATATGAGAAGAAAGCAACAGACGGTTTGACTGCAGATCCTTATGTGATTTCTGCAAAGCTGTTTTTTATGGTCCCAAGATCATAGCTTTATTTTTCTCCACATACCTTCTTTCCCAAGTTTAGCTTCTTTTCTCTTGCACATCAGCAGTTTTCAGAGAATCGTATCTCTTCTTTCTTCCATAGGGAATGATTGCTTGTGAGAAAAATAACCAGCCTTTGGAGGAAAGCAAACATTCACTTTTTTTCTTGTAATTTTAAAACGTTATTTTCTTGTTTTGCCACTCATTTGGCTTCGCACAATCTTCCCTGGAGGAGTATTGCTGAAAACTTTTTTTTCTCCAAGGGAAAGCAATCGTGAAACTTCTACAGAGAATTTTTATTTTATTTTTTGTTTGTTCATTGCACAGCTGTTCAACAGGTTTAATAAAGCTTTATAAACTTTGGTCTGTGGACTAGTGCCATTTGTGATGCAGTCACTCTTACTGGACTAAGGCCTCTGAGTTGGTAACAGTTTAACTCCTTATTTCCTTCATTTCTCCCCCAACATTTCCTTTTGTTTCCAGGGTAATTTAATAGCAAGATGAAGCAAACAACTAAACATAAACAAATCAGGAGTTTTGATGTGATAGTCTTGACACTCACCTGCTCATCCTCTCAAAATGCTCCATTTGCCTTTTCCCTCCTAAATTAAAAAAAAAGTAAGAACATAGATGTTCTGGGCAACAGTGTGCAGCCTAAATTTTCGCTGAAGTTTGTGGTACTAAAGAATTTCCCTGCAGAAAGGTTGGGAGGAAAAAGAGAGATGGTGGAGGAATAGAAAGGGAGCAGTGTTTAGACTGGATGGGTTCCATGCCCCTCTCTTTTGTGACAGCCCTGTTAGCAGATGTCTTTTAAGAACATGTCTTGGTAGAGATTTGGCAAAATCTGAAAGCGTGGGACTTAGTGGTTTTATTAAAACTTTCACTGCTTGCTTGATATTTCAAAGTCTACTTTAGTTATGCACCAGTGATGGCTATGATCACTATTATGTGATGGCAACTATTATGTAATGAAATAAGGTATTTAAAACTTGCCAGTAGCTCATACATATAAAACAAAGTAATCCAAACTGGAAATTACTGTAGCCTAGATGTTACCTCTGTGTAGGATGGGGCTGACTTTGGCATATCCACTTAATCTAAAAAAACCCTATTTTATTTATTTATTTACTATATTTATATCCCGCCTTTCCTGACCCCGAAGGGGACTCAAGGCAGCTTACAGATAGGCAACAACAATATACAATTAAAATAAACATTTAAATTAAATTAGGATCAAAATAGAGATACATTATAACATTTTAAAAACATTACAATCACTGTAAAACCACGCTATCCGCAATCATAATCCAGATCATTCTGGTGAGCTATTAAAGCCATTGTGCCTCTAGTGACAACTATATATCTGATAGTACCCTAAAACTACATACTTAGTCCTTTAGAGGAATATGTTGTGCTCCAGATCAGATGGGGCACAATTGAAGTAAACAGATGAAGTGTTCATAAGCAAGACAGACATTAGCCCTGATTCAGCCTATTGCAATGCCCAGGCAGGGCACTGGCTAGAATATTTATTTATTTATTTATCGTGTCATCAGCAACCATTGTATTACAATTCTAACAGAGCAAAACAAACACAGAGATAAAAAAGAAAAAGAAAGAAAAAAAAACCACACAGATTTTGCAAATTTGGTATTTGGTTAAATGTCCTTTGACCAGTATCTGGCCACTTGGAGTGCCTCTGGTGTTGCCGCAAGAAGGTCCTCCATTGTGCATGTGGCAGGGCTCAGGGTGCATTGCAGCAGGTGGTCAGTGGTTTGTTCTTCTCCGCACTCGCATGCAGGATTCCACCCTGTAGCCCCATTTCTTAAGATTGGCTCTGCATCTCGTGGTGCCAGAGCGCAGTCTGTTCAGCGCCTTCCAAGTCGCCCAGTCTTCTGTGTGCCCAGGGGGGAGTCTCTCATCTGGTATCACCCATGAATTGAGGTGCTGGGTTTGGGCCTGCCACTTTTGGACTCTCGCTTGCTGAGGTGTTCCAGCGAGTGTCTCTGTAGATCTAAGAAAACTATTTCTTGATTTAAGTCGTTGACGTGCTGGCTGATACCCAAACAGGGGATGAGCTGGAGATGTCTCTGCCTTGGTCCTTTCACTATTGGCTGCTACTTCCCGGCTGATGTCAGGTGGTGCAATACCAGCTAAGCAGTGTAATTTCTCCAGTGGTGTAGGGCTCAGACACCCTGTGATAATATGGCATGTCTCATTAAGAGCCACATCCACTGTTTTAGTGTGGTGAGATGTGTTCCACACTGGGCATGCATACTCAGCAGCAGAGTAGCATAGCGCAAGGGCAGATATCTTCACTGTATCTGGTTGTGATCCCCAGGTTGTGCCAGTCAGCTTTCGTATGATGTTGTTTTTCTAGCGCCCACTTTTTGCTTGATGTTCAGGCAGTGCTTCTTGTAGGTCAGAGCACGGTCCAAAGTGACTCCCAGGTATTTGGGTGCGTTGCAATGCTCCAGTGGGATTCCTTCCCAGGTAACTGGCTAGAAAAGAGTGTTGTAATGTCATGGGATTAGTGACAGATGACAAAGGCCAATTCTGTATTAGGTGAATGCCACAAAGTCTTGCTACATCTGCTTTTGCAGACATTAAATGGTTCCAAATATTCAGCATAAGGCCAGATAGCAGAGATCTCACCATTTCGGGGGGCAGGGGTATGGGTTTTGTAACCCATTTCCCCTCACTGGACACTGAGTGTCTTTTCTGTAACACTTCCTAGGGTCCAGAACCAAAGCACTTAACTGTCACAGGCCCACACTGATAGGGACCACATAAAATAATGCTGCTCATAGTGGTCTGCAGTCAGTGGTGGTGTGAAGTGAGTTTCCAATAAAGAAATAATCCACTGTAGGTAATGGCAAAAATATGATGTTGGTTCATGGCATACGGGGTAGGTGGAAATCCTGCCCGCCCCCTGCATCAGATAGCTTTAAAAGCAGTGATGTAGAAAACAGGCTTAGTAGCGATTTTCCTGTGGTGGTTTGGAACACTGTCATAGTGTCATAGTGTGCAGACTGATAGGTGGTGCTGGCAATCACGTTCATCTTTTCTTCTGTTTTGTTTCTGTAGATAAAAAGGTTTCCTTACTGGAGCAGAAAAAATATGGCTCTTATTTCTATCTGTTGTAGAAGTCTCCAATACAGGAGGAGTCCAGAAAGGAAAGTGGAGGAGAAGGGGAGTCAGAAATTTGTGTACCACTAGACTTGTCCACTCCAGTATCTTCTAGCCAATTCATGCTTGCAACCATGAAACTCCCTTTGTGTGTTCCTCCCACATCACAGATTTATTATTAGTCCTATCTACTTTACTCTTTGTGGTTTTTCTCTTTCTATTATCACAGTTCACTTGGTACTCAATAAAAGCATTCTTGTGCTCAGTTTCTCACCCAATAGAAATTCCCTTGCCATTTGTTTAACAAGGCAGTTCAGCAGACCATTAACGCTTCACTATCAGAATTTTGAAAAATCCACTTTAAAGCAACACTTCTGAAACCGTCCTCTCTCTTAGATTAGGAAAGTGGAATGGTTCTCTCTTTGTGATAACAGGATGGATTAAATGAAAATATTGTAAGATTCTCTATTTGGTTCTATTGATATGCTCTTTTAAGTTGGCATGTCTTCCTCATGAAAAGATCTGCATTTACAGAGCATGTGCAGTCTCAGGCACAACCAGAGTGTGGCATTCACAGTCTAAATGAAAACTGTCTGCAGAGTCATACCGATCTCTGTTTTGTATATCATCAACTGCTTTGCAAGAAGGTTGAGGCTATAGCACCTAATATTCCTTTGTTTTTAGATATACTTTAGTCTTCTTTGCTTATTCTTAATTTGTATTTTTCCTTTTTAAAATTGTGCAGAAGCCTGCATCTTACTTCCTATAGGGAAGGTCACAACTCATTCCAAGATTCATTACTTATACTTGAAAAGAAGAAAGGGACCTTTTGTTCTTCGAGGCAAGAATAAGACAGGTTAAAATAGGCAAACTTACTTACTCCCCCCTTTATGCATTCTACCTTTCAGAGGGTGGCAGGCCCCATCTATCAACATGAACTATTTCTTTCCTGTGAATGAATGACAGGGCGATTCTTCTCTTCTGGACAGTTCAGCAAAGTTTCTGTTTCCAAAGCTGAATGGTTTAACAGATCACTATTCACCCATTACTAAGTAATGGAGGACAGGCAAGAGGCTGTAGCCACAGTCTCTTCATAACCTTGGGCTTTCATTTAGAAAGAAGCATGGACTTCCTTATAATGGTAATTTTTTCATAGCAGACATAGACTATTCCTTTTCCAAAACAATATCCATGGAATTCAGAGATACCATATGTCCTCAACTATAATGCAACATCAAATATAATGAACACCTCAGTTTTGAAGGTGCACCTTACAAAAAGATGGATTTTTCCACCAGTGTAATGTGTCCAATGATGTAGGCATAACGCAACAGGGAGGCAGGCAATGTGGCCATTTGGGAAACCATGCTCTTCCATCAGGTGAAGTCTGGCGAACTCACCAGCCTCACACAGTTCTCAACTGGCCTCATTCACATGGCTTTCAAAACCAAGGGGTTGTGAGTTGAAGGCCTCATGAATGAAACCTCTTGGATTCACCAACCTCTGCCTGATGGAGGGGCATGGCTCTTCCATCGCCGAGATTCACCAGCCGTTTCCAACTGGACTCACCCATGAAGTCTTTAAAATTGAGGGGGAGATCTCAAGAATGAGGCCAGTTGGGAATCACATGGTTCCGAGCCTCAGGGTGGGCAGGCAAGAAACTCCCAAGGGTAGGATGCATGACTGAGCCCTGGCTCAGAGCTTCCTGCTTCTTTGGTCAGCAACCCCTCCATGGCTAAATGGCAGGAAAGGCTGGGTTGACATCTGGGTGCTCCTCCTCCTGATGCCATGGAGCCCTGAGACTAGCGCAGCCACAGTTTATGTGAGTGATTCTAACGCTCCATCAAATCTAATATGCACTTCAGTTTTGGCAATGTAATTTAATCAAAAAGGGTGTGCATTAGACTCAAATGAATACAGTAATATTCACAATGATCCCAAGAGAGTGTTGACCAGATATTGCAATTACCACCACTTGAGGGGCAATACAATCATGGGATAATATAGCACAATAGTCTATTTTAAGAGAGAAAAAGCATATAAATAAATATAATAATAAAAATAGTCTACTGCTTCTCCGTAGTAGAGGGAGGCGGTCTCTCATTCTATCGGTAGCATATAACCATCAGAAGTAGTCATTTATAGCTGTAGACCAGTGGTTCTCAATCTGTGGGTCCCCAGATATTGTGGCCTTCAAATCCCAGAAATCCTAACAGCTGGCAAACTGGCGGGG